TTTGCTCACTTTTTACAACATGTTCACTTCATTTGCTGTTTCTAGAACGTGATGCTTTGGACTGACTGATCTCTCTTGCCCCTGATAGTTCATGGCTTAATCCCTCACAGCACTGGGGTCTCTCTTCCTTAGCAAGAACCACTGTTGTGGGCTGGATTGTGTCTCCCTTATTCATACACTGAAGGTCTAACTCCCAGTACCTCAGAGTGGAATTATAATTGGAGACAAGGTCTTTAAAGAGATTATTAAGTGAAACTGAGGCTGTTAGACTGAGTCCCTAATAGGGTCTGATTTGTGTCCTTATAAGAAGAGAAACAGATACCAGGATACACAGAGACAAGACCATGTGAGGATGTAGTGAGAAGTCTATCCACACACCAAGGAGAGAGGCTTCAGAAGAAACCTTTGGTGTTGAACTTCCAGCCTCATGAATTGTGACAGAATAAGTTTGAGTTGTTAATCCTTGTTACGGTAGCCTAGCTGATACATACACCAACCCTGACCAACAGTGTGCCTCCACTACCATAACCTTACTATATTTTCCTTCATAGTTCTTCATATGTCATATTTATCTGCCTTTTCATTTATTTTCTCTTTTACTCCATTCAAGCTTCATGAAGGCAGGACTTTGCCATGCCTACTGTTATAAAGCCCAGACAGTACCTGGCACAGAGCAGGCATTCAAACCAATATTGATCAATATAGAAGTGAATGGACTAGGCCATTTAGATTACTTTCCTCCCTGGTATTTCTCCCCTTGTCTGTATTTCCTGTCTGTGAAATGCTCCTTGACTCTCAGAGACATTCCTGATTTTTCGCAGCATGCTTTACCCTCAGGTTTTCTCCGAGGAGGCTGACAAGGATGTACTCCTGCCCTCAATCCCTCCTCACCTCTCCACTGCTCTGTGATGCTGCTTTGTCTTGGGTTTGCTATTTTTCTCCAGTATAGGAAAGTTTGCCTGGAAAGGAGTTACATACTTGGTCCTAAGTGCTAGGGCTTTGTATACTTACAGCTTAGATATAACTTTTCAGTATTGCCCTAGCACTCAAATTGCATAGTTGGCCTGAGCCTTATTCTGCTGAGTGAGGCTGAGGCCAGGGTTCTCAGCCAAATGCAGCTAACATCTGTCTAGCCCAGGAGACTCCAGGCACAAGAGAAAGTTCTTATCAATAACATTGCCTGGCTTTTCTGAAAACTTGCAAATTTAATGCTCTCAAGACTATGTTCAGTCTGAAAGCTGAATGGTAATGCCACACTTAGAACTGGTCCATCTGTTGGTTTCCAGCTGAAGATGATGTGGATGACTGAGCTATCACTTATAATGGAAGCTTGTACAGGGGCCAGGAATCTGTGCAAACTCTCTAGTCTGGCATTCAAGGGCCCTTCAAACTGCTTTTATGCCTCATGTCTCATTGTTCTCTGTGAAAAATTTTTTTTTATTTCTAACAGAATGTTTCCTGATTTCTGGGCATGTCTCTGTCTTGTGTGACATTTAACTTTCCATGACTTTTACATCCCTCTTTTGAACACTGCTGAAAATTTCCAGAAACCAGAGCTGGAGCCATATACCTCACGTTCCACAGTTGAGTATACAGCCTAGCCAAATAGGTAGCTTTGTGATGGCTGCAGTAATCCAGCCTCACCTGCTTCCAGGTATGATAACAGGTAATATGGGAACAGACCAACAAAATAAAAATAGCCAGGGTGCATCAGAAGTATATGGGTGACAGATGGAGAGAATTTCAGGTAAGTGTTTAGAACAGCTAATATTGTATCTTAATGGTCACTGTGGAAATCTTCCACACATTATAGACTGAGGCTTTAGAATATTAGATAGCCTGCCTAAGTTGCTCAACCAATGAATGGCAGGATCAAGGCTTGAACCTAGTACTTTTGATACCACTTTTGCTCCTCTTATTTGTTAGAATTGTGGAACCAAAACCAAAAGCTCACTGGCAGGGGTGGTGAGCTGAGCATTCCTGAGCTCCATCTTCTGTTCTTAATGATTCTTTCCACAGAATACATTTGAAGCAGATTCTTATTTTCTTCTGTGCTTGGCTTTGTCCATGTGCAAGGCCATTTAAAATTAATTAAATTGATTCTTATCTTCAAATTGGTCCTGGATACTGCATTGGTAGTTGCCAAAGGAGCTTCTCCAAAAGCATGTTAATGATATATTAGCTTTCCATTGTCCTCTCTATTTTGGCCCTGTATTCTAGGTCTTCCATTCCCCCAGAAAAAAATTGTGGCTGTTATTATATGAAAGCAACAAAGTGTTCCATCCTCCCGGAGAGATGGAATCCACATTAGGCTCTGGTAACAATGGTCTAGACTTTGCCCTTTGAGAGCTTCTCTGAGACAATGGTGGGGCCTTGGTTCTTAGATACGTTGAATTCATAGTCAGATATATGGCTGTTGAGACACTGCCTTCCATGGTGATGGACGGGAACCTTGGTTACTGTACTTATGATAAATGAAAAGAAAATGAAAAAAATCCCCAAAGCTTGCGAGCATTATTTTGTTCTAAAGTACCTTCATGTCATTATATGGAAGAATAAAACCTATTGTATGTTCTAGTTTGAAACTCTTTATCATTTGCATCCTGGGGGTGTGGTGGGGCTCTTTTGGTATTCCTGGTCCATGTGTCACCTTGTTTGATTTTTTTTTTTTCTATTTGGAAAATGAGAACAAGGTCTTTATGGAAGTAAGAGATGTGATGAGTGGAAACCTCAAAGTGTGGTGACGTGAGGACTTTTCTATCCATTCTCAAAATACAAGCAAGCCCCAACTTTGAAAGCATTTCTTCAAAGTGTACTAGAAGCACAAACAGTACAGTACATGGCTGGAGATGGTAAGGCACAGAGAAATCTGATTTGGCTGGCATTATGCAGTAATGGAATGGAGAAATAAAGATGAGAACTTGGGCTTCCAGGCCAGATACCAGTTCCTCCATTATCAGGAAGCTAAATCCTTCAAATGAGAGAGCTCTGGAATCCAAGTCCCATGGATTTCACCAATTTTGCTGAATCACTGTAGGAAGGGTTTTTTTTTTTTTTTTTTTATTTATTTGAAAGGCGGAGTTGCAGTGAGAGAGGAAGAGATCAACAGAGTAAGCTTCCATTGGCTGGTTCATTCTCTAAATTGCTGCAACCACCAGAGCTAGGCCGATTTGAAGCCAGGAGCTTCTTCTGGGTCTTTCATATGGGATCAGTGGCCCAAGGAGTTGGGCTATCTTCCAATGCTTTCCCAGGCACATGAGTAGGGAGCTGGATCTGAAATGGTGCAGCCACGATTCAGACTGGCACACATGTGGGATGCCAGTGTCGCTGGCAGCAGCTTAACTTGCTACGCCACAATGCTGGTCCCGGTAGAAACTTCTTGAACCTTGTAGTGAGGCAGGACATTTAACAGAAAAGTAGAGGTGACTCAATGAATTCCTGCCTGAATTCTAGGTAAGCTCTTCTGGAAGGGTCAGTAACAGAACTTGGGTATAGGTAACCATGTTCACCTTGCCAATCAACATTTCTCATTTCAGTCACCTGCTTGGTGGCCTGAAATGAGCTGCTGCCTCTGGAGCTTGGCCAGGGGTTTGGTGTCCATGGTAGCCTGAATGTTACAAGACATGGTGTTATTAAGTTCAGAGTCGGTGAACTCAAGGGGCTTCCATAGCCTAGACAGCTCATAGCAAGAGTCTCGGGTGATTGCTGACGTCATAAATAAGAGTGCCAATTGTTAAATCAACAACGGGAGTCACTGGGTACATGCTCCCCATATAGGATCTCTGTCCTTAATGTGTTTTACTATGAAACTTAAAAACAACACTACTAGTTGTTGTGTGAGTACAGCCTGTTGAAATCTTTGCTTAGTATATACTAAGTTGATCTTCAGTATATGAAGGTAATTGAAAATGAAACTTGATGAAGGGCGAGATGGGAGAGGGAGTGGGAGAGGGGAGGGCCACGGGAGGGAGGGAGGTTGGGGCAGGGGGGAAGCTACAACAATACAAAAGTTGCACTTTGTAAATTCACATTAAATAAAAAAACACTATATAACAAACAAAAAAAAGGAAAAAAAAAAAACAAGACATGGTGTTATTAATCCTGACTTGGTAAGTCAACAGTCTGTGGGACTTCCCCAGTGTGGGTGTGCATTGTTCCCATCTGTACAATAAGTGTGGACTAGGAAATCTGCAAGGCTCTTCCATTGCTTAACTGGTATGAAATTCTCTGACAGCATGAGCTGTTCTTCACAATTTCATAACAATCTCCTTGGGGCAATTAAGGACGTTCACCCATCTAGGACATAAAGGATGTCAGAGCAAATCCACAAGCTTCTACTCTTCAGTCCCTTTACTTCCCTCTTCTCTTCCGTAGTTTCTTTGTTTTGCAAAGACTCATTAGTTTTGATATACCTTTTTAAAAACTTATTAATTCGAGAGGCAGAGTTAGATCTTTCATCCCCTGGTTCATTCCCCCAAATGGCTGCAACGGCCAGAGCTGTCCTTATCCGAAGCCAGGAGACAGGAGTTTCTTCCAGGTGTCTCATGTGGATGCAGGGACCCATGACCTTGGGTCATCTTCCATTGCTTTCCTAGGCCATTAGCAGAGAGCTGGATCAGAAGAGGAGCAGCTGGGACACGAATCAGTGCCCATATGGGATGCTGGTGCTGCAGGATGAGGCTTAATCTATACCACAACACTGGATCCTTGACATACCTTTTATTAATATGAACTGAAAAATGCAACTGTTTCAAGCCTCCGATTCCTTTTTCCATACGCTAAACAGTTTTTCTTCTAGACGTTAAAAGAGAATGGAACCCATGTAATGGGAAAACCTATAACTACTTTCATCAAATTTGAAAACTCAATTCCTTATCCTTTATTTTCCCCCTGTATCCCTGTTAAAGAAGCATACCTTCTCTCTAACACCAGTGCCTCCAAGGTTGCTCTGAAGCCAAATCCTAACAAGTCTGGAAAACTTACTGTAGGTTATTTTTTCATTCAGCTTCTCCATCTTAGTCAAATCCTTCCCATTAGCACTTCAACATGCCCAAGGTTTTTCCATCTTTTTTTTAAAGATATTATTTGAAAGGCAGAATTAAAAGCAGAGGGAGAGGGTGTGTGTGTGTGTGTGTGTGTGTGTGTGTGTGTGAAGGGGGGGATGAAGATTTCATCTGCTGATTCACTTCCCAAATGTCTACAATGGCCAGGGCTGGGCCAGGCTGAAGGCAGTAGCCAAGAGCTGCTTCTAGGTCTCCTATGCATGTATAGGGGCCCAAGGACTTCAGCCATCCTCTCTGCTGGTTTCCCAAACACATTAGCAGGGAGCTGGGCTGGAAGCAGAGCAGCCAGGACTTGAACCAATGCCCATTTGGGTTGCCAGTACTTCAGATGGTGGCTGAAACTGCTGTGCCACAATGCTGGCCTCAGGGTTTTTTCTTAACAGAAAACAAAAGTTCTTAGAAACAACCTCTCCCATGAGCCTGCTTTGCCAGCTTGCGAGCATACGATCTCTTTCCATTCATAGATGCTTTCTCTGAAGTATTACCTAAACTCACTGCCCTTTCTTTTCACTCACACTGCTCTCCTATCATTTCTACCTTAAATAGAACCTTCATTAAGTTACCGTGTATGGTCTAGCACATGCATTAGCACGTGGGTCCTTGTGTTGGAGAGCCTATTTAAGTACTGTGTTGTAGAACAGCATCACTCATGCTTAAGTTTTCATAAGTTTACATACAGATCTGTTGAAGCAGTTCTGGAGTCTACTATTAGATGCTCTGCTTTTGATAATCCAGAGTGAGTTGAATTTACATTTTCTACTTGAGAGGTGTGTGTTGGGTGGATGAAGTGAATGCAAGTGCACTCCTATTTACTAGTTCACTCCTCAGATACCTATAATGACTGGGGCTTGATCCAGTAGCCTGAAACGCAACATGCAACCCAGACCTACCATATGGGAGGTGAGAACCCAGTTATCTGAGACTCACTGGTGCTTCTTGGGTCTACATTGACAGGAAGCTGGAGCCAGGAATTGAGCCCAGGAACTCTAATGTGGGATATGAGTATCAAATGCTAGACTAAATACCTGCTCACTCTTTTTTAAAATTATTTTTAACTTTTCATAAGATATAAAAATTATCACTTTAACTTTTAAGTTTTTAAGGATTTTATTCAGTGAGGAATGCACAGGAAAGTCAGGGCTTTAATTAAGGGAGAAAAAAGTCTAGAAGCTAAGTTGGGTCCATATCGGAGAGCAGGCCAGGTGCCATATGGAGCAAGCATGCAGTCAGGAAAGTAGAGGCAGGGCAGATGCCAGGTGTAACAAGGGAAGGACCCATTGTGGTCCAGGCCTTTTATTTACTCCCAAAGGGGAGTGATTACCTAGTATGATTAGCAGGTGGGTATATAGATGAGGTCCAATAGGAGCATGGTGGAGGGAATGGTCTTCGAGCTCACAAATCTAATCAATTTGATCATATTTGCCTGCTTATATCATTAACAATTCAGATTCCAGAACTTAATCCTAAGGGATGCTGAGGGGCATAGAATAATATCTTATTTTTTAATCCTTTGTATCTACTTTTTTATAGAAAGCTTTTATTTAATAAATATAACTTTCATAAGTGCAACATTTGGATTATAGCAGTTCTTTGTCCCATACCTGCTTTCCCAGCCCCAATCCATCCCACTATCTACTCCCTCTCTCATCCTGTTCTTCATTAAGATTCATTTTTAATTATCTTTCTAACAGATCAACTCTACACTAAAGATTTCAACAGTTTGCACCCACACAGACAAAGTATAAAGTACTATTTGAAGACTAGTTTTGCTGTTAATTTTCATAGTACAAAGGTCCTACTTGGGGAGCAAGTGCACAGTGACTCCTGTTGTTGATTTAATAATTGGTACACTTATTTATGATGTCAGTGATCACCTGGGGCTTGCTCTTGTCATGAGCTACGAAGGCTATGGAAGCCTTTTGGGTCCACAAATTCCATCAGTATTTAGATAAGGCCATGATCAAAGAAGTTCTCTCCTCCCTTCAGAAAAAGGTACCTCCTTCTTTGATGGTCCTTCTTTCCATTGGGATCTCACTCACAGAAATCTTTCATGTAGGTCATTTTTTGCCACAGTGTCTTGGCTTTCCAGGCCTGAAATGTTCTCATGGGTTTTTTAGCCAGATCTGAATGCCTTAAGGGCTGATTCTGAGGCCTGAGTGCTCTTAAGGGCATTTGTCATTTTATGAGTCTGCTGTGTGACCTGCTTCCCATGTTGGATCATTCTTTCCTTTTTAGTTCTATCAATTATTAGCAGGCACTTGGTCTTATTTATGTGACTCTATAACATTTAATCCTATCTTTATGATCAATTATGCACTTAAACTGATCACTTTAACTAGTAAGATGGCATTGGTACCTGCCAACTTAATGGGATTTGGAGTCCCATGGCAAGCTTTTAGCCTCACGCTCAGGGGTAAGTCCAAGGGAACATGAGCTGAACTGTATATCTTCTCCCTCTCCTATTCACGCTCTTTTTCTAAAAGAGATCAATTTTCAGTTAACTTTAAACACCTAAGAATAATTCTGTGTTAAAAGTTCAACCAGGTACTTCATGAGGGTTGCGAGGGTCAGACCAGAAGAACAGAAGTCTAGCAAATTTGGGTTCAATGTCAGCAAACTGGGCTTACCTTCTGGAAAAATTCGAAGTATACCTCCACTTGGCACCTCAGTCTTTATTAAGGTAATATATACATGTCAAATACTGGCAGGCAAGATGGTGGAATAGGAAGGGAGCACCTTTTTTTTTTTTTTTGAAATGAATTCATTTGTATTTGCATTTACAGGTACAACACATTGTCACCCACATGTAACTGTAGGCTTCATGAGAAGATGGCAGAGAGGCTGTGGACACATCTGCCCCAAGCAGACTGACCACACTCTGTCGTAGCCATGAATGGGGCATCCTCATGCAGAATCGTCAGCTCCCTGTGGCAGAGCGCCCTGGGGTGGGGCCGCCATACTCCCATGCCCCTCACGACAGGTGCCTTCTGGCTGCTTGTCTGCAGGGAAGTCTTCATGGGGTGCAGCTGCTGCACTTGTAGCCTGTGCTCTTTCTCCTCCTAGATCCTCCGAGCTTTGTATAGGGTGAGTTCTTGTCCCTATGATATGTTCCTGTACTCAGCCTTCGGCGTCCAGCTTCCTCCGGCAGGGTCTGTGGTAGTTTCACGTTGCTGGCTCTCAGGGCCAGCTCTGTAGCAGTCCCCATTACTGCAGGTGGCACTTTCTCCTGCTTAGTGTCCTTCTCTTCCTTTCAGATGGTGCAAGATCTTGTTCCTGGCTTCCCGGGCCATGGCTGGGGTCCGTTTCTCCTCCAGTACCTCCACTCGGGCTGCCCAAGGGCAGCCTGCCTCCGAGACTTCTCAAGGAAGATGGGTTCTGTGTGGACTGCACAGTTCACCATCAGGGTCTGGGGAAGGCCCCTGTCCAGATCAGTGTCCAGATCTTCCTCTTCAGTGGAGGAGGAGGAGGAAGACACAGCCACTGGAGCCTGCACTGCTGCCGCCTTCTCTGTGGAACCCTCCAGGGGCAAAAGCTGGCCTGTGGACTTCAGCTCGAACTCAGCAAGCTCTCTAGCTGAGATCTTGGAGGTCCTGGTTATGGGCCACCAGGTGGGGCCACCCAAGGGGGAGCAGCAGAGGCAGCCCTGGCACAGCAGAGGGCAGCAGGCGCGGGGGTGGCAGGGAGGGCACAGGAACTGCATGCCCGCAGGAAGCCCGCTGGTGATGCATCCAGCAACCAGCCCCAGCAGAGAGCAGCATGGGGCCCAGAGGAGGGGCCGGAGGTGCTCCCTGGGGACAGGCTTGTGCAGCCTTTCCACAGCCTTCCTCCAGACAGCTGGGGGCACCCACCGGACCCCACCTTGAGGCACCTTAGCTGTCAGGCCATTCCAGAAATGAACAGTGATTTCTTCTTCCTCTGATGCTCTCATGGAGTCAGTCATCTCCAAGCCCAGCAAAACAGTGCCAGGGCCGTAGTGCTGTTGGTCTGGCTCCCAGGGTGCCAGCACCTTGTCCCCGGTTCTCAGCGAGTAGTCCACGGATTGTGGGAGCTGAATGACATCTTCCTCCGAGACCGCACTCAGCTGTGGGGCGGGCAGCTTTGGGCCTGTGACAAGGGGAACTTCAAATTCCAGTTTAATACAAGTGGAGATACTGCAGGTTCAAGGAAGAGTAGGGGAAGAAACAGCAGAAGAAACTCTTCCGGAACGAGTGATTCACAGTGGACCTGCGTGGAGAGCGTGGGAGACCACCACACAGACTCAACACACCAGCACTGGAACACGAGGTGAGCTGAACCTCAATAGCCCGAGACACCGGCAGGCAAGCAGAAAGAGGAGACTAGAGGGAACGACCCCGGGGGGGAAAGTTCACCAGGCTAACTAGAAGAAAGAGAGAGAGAGAGAAAAAAAAAGTGACCGATACGGACACGGGTTTCTCTCTCTCTGCTCACCCCTCAAAGGCGAGCAAGACAAAGAGCGGGCACCATCTTGGACATACGTCATAAGCAGAGCGACCTCAGGTCTGCACCAGCCCTGAGCCTAGCAGAAAAACCTGACTCTGGGCGGGGTGAATTAACAGGAGATTAGGACCTAGTGAATTTGTGGTGCTACTGAACTGAGACTGTGAAAAAAGAGACAGTGGGGGAGAGAACTCACAGAATTCACGTGAGTACTCTCCAGAGACGCTACAGTTCCATAACTTTGGCAACCCAGTGGGAGACTGAAGGAGAATTTGAGCCCACTCTGAGGGCTGAACAGATTCCCTGTGTGGTCCTTGGGAAAGAGCTTTCAATCTCTGGCTCCTGTGGGTATATCATTTGCCTGCTAACTACCTCCAACTTCGTTCAGCTGTGCGGAATTACTTCCCTTTTGAATCAAAAAAAAGAAAGATCTACCACGCCTAACCTGGGAGTGTCACCTTTGGCACACCAAACAGAGCTCTCAGGCCACACCCATCTCAAGCCTCTAAGGCTCCATCAAAAACACAGTCCACTTAATCTAGAGTCATAGTATAACAAGAAAAAGCACCACAGTGAAGAAACTAAATATCTCCAATATGCCAAATAACAAACGCAAAAGCCGAGGTAATAAAAACAAGGAAGTCACTATGACGCCCCCAAATGAAAAAAGTCACCTCAATTCAAGATTATGAAGATGATGAGATAGAAGAAATGCAAGAAGCAGATCTCAAAAAATTGATAAGAACATTAAGAAGTTCTCAAACAAATTCTTGAACTACAGAAATCCTTAATGGACAAGATAGAAAATCTCGTGAAAATGAAATATTAAGGAGGAATCAAAATGAAATGAAACAACTAGTAGAACAGGAAACTGTGATAGTGACGAGAAATCATAATGAAGAATTCAATAGATCAAATGAAAAACACATTAGAGAGCCTTACAAACAGAATGGGTGAAGTAGAAGAGAGAATATCGGACTTAGAAGACAGAGAACAGGAAAGGATACAGTCAGACCAAAGAAAAGAAGAGGAAATTAGAAATCTGAAACATATTGTCGGGAATCTTCAGGATACTATTAAAAAACCCAACATTCGGGTTCTAGGAGTTCCTGAAGGCATGGAGAGGGAGAAAGGATTAGAAGGCCTTTTTAGTGAGATATTAGCAGAAAATTTCCCAGGTTTGGAGAAGGACAGAGAAATCCTAGTACAGGAAGCCCACAGAACCCCTAATAAACACGACCAAAAGAGATCCTCACCACGACACGTTGTAATTAAACTCTCCACAGTGAAACATAAAGAAAAGATCCTAAAATGTGCAAGAGAGAAACGTCAGATTACTCTCAGAGGATCTCCAATCAGACTCACAGCTGACTTCTCATCAGAAACCCTACAAGCTAGGAGGGAATGGCGAGATATAGCCCAGGTACTAAGAGAGAACAACTGCCAGCCCAGAATATTATATCCTGCTAAGCTCTCATTTGTGAATGAAGGTGAAATAAAGACTTTTCACAGCAAACAGAAATTGAAAGAATTTGTCGCTGGCGCTGCGGCTCACTAGGCTAATCCTCTGCCTTGTGGCGCTGGCACACCAGGTTCTAGTCCCGGTTGGGGTGCCAGATTCTGTCCTGGTTGCCCCCCTTCCAGGCCAGCTCTCTGCTGTGGCAAGGGAGTGCAGTGGAGGATGGCCCAAGTGCTTGGGCCCTGCACCCCATGGGAGACCAGGATAAGCACCTGGCTCCTGCCATTGGATCAGCGCAGCGTGCCAGGTGCGCTGCACCGGCCGGGGCGGCCAATGGAGGGTGAACCAACGGCAAAAGGGAGACCTTTCTCTCTGTCACATTTGGAATTGCATCAAATTGAGAAGTGTCTGTAGTGTAAAAGAAACAGGAAAGTGAAGAGGCAACCAACAGAATGGGAAAATATATTTGCAAGTTATGCAACTTATAAAGGGTTGATAACCAGAATCTACAAAGAAATCAAGAAACTCCACAAGATCAAAACAAACAACCCACTTAAGAGATGGGCCAAGGGCCTCAATAGACATTTTTCAAAAGAGGAAATCCAAATGGCCAACAGACACATGAAAAAATGTTCAAGGTCACTAGCAATCAGGGAAATGCAAATGAAAACCACAATGAGGTTTCACCTCACCCCAGTTAGAATGGCTCACATTCAGAAATCTACCAATAGATGCTGGAGAGGATGTGGGGAAAATGGGACACTAACCCACTGTTGGTGTGAATGCAAACTGGTAAAGCCACTATGGAAGTCAGTCTGGAGATTCCTCAGAAACCTGAAGATAACCCTACCATTCAACCCAGCCATCCCATTCCTTGGAATTTACTCAAAGGAAATTAAATTGGCAAACAAACAAGCTGTCTGCACATTAATGTATATTGCAGCTCAATTCACAATAGCTAAGACCTGGAACCAACCCAAATGCCCATCAACAGTAAACTGGATAAAGAAATTATGGGGCATGTACTCTATAGAATACTATACAGCAGTCAAAAACAACGAAACCCAGTCATTTGCAACAAGATGGAGGAATTTGGAAAACATCATGCTGAGTGGATTAAGCCATTCCCAAAGGGACAAATATCATATGTTCTCCGTGATCGGCGATAACTAACTGAGCACCAAAGGGGAAACTTGTTGAAGTGAAATGGACATTATGAGAAACAGTGACTTGATCAGCTCTTGTCCTGACGGTTGATGTACAATGTAATACTTTATCCATTTTAGTATTTTTTTTGTTCTAGTACCATTGGTTGAACTCTGTAATTAACACACAATTATTCTTAGGTGTTTAAATTTTAACTGAAAAGTGATCCCTGTTAGGAATTTGGAAAACATTATGCTGAGTGAAATAGCCAATCCCAAAGGGAAAAATACCACTTGTTCTCCTTGATAGGTGACAACTAACTGAGCACCAAAAAGGAAACCTGTTAAAGTGAAATGAACACTATGAGAAACAGTGACTTGATCAGCCCTCACCCTAACTGTTGATGAGCAACTTAATATGTTATCCCTCTTAATACTTTTTCTGTTTGTTCTACTTAATACTTTTGGTTGAATACTGTAATCAATACACAATTCTTCTTAAGTGCTGAAACTTAACTGAAAAGTGATCCCTGTTAAATATAAGAGTGGGAATAAGAGAGGGAAGAGATGTGCAATTCGGGACATGCTCAAGCTGAAAAGCCCATGAGAGTATTTCAGGGATGGAAAGCCAAGACACTCTGTCAAAAAAAAAAAAAAAAAAACTAAATGAAAGATCTCTGTGAGTGAGATCCCAGTGGAAAGAACAGGTCATCAAAGAAGGAGGTACTTTTCTCTGAAGGGAGGAGAGAACTTCCACTTTGACCATGTTCCTTGTCTAAATATGATCAGAGTCAGTGAACTCAGGGGGCTTCCATAGCCTTGGCAGCTCATGACAGGAGCCTAGGGTGATTACTGATGCCATAAACAAGAGTGTCAATTTGTTAAGTCAACAACAGGAGTCACTGTGCACTTACTCCTCATGTAGGATCTCTGTCCTTAAAGTGCTGTACATGAGACTTAATGCTATAACTAATACTCAAACAGTATTTTTCACTTTATGTTTCTGTGTGGAGCAAACTGTTGAAATCTTTACTTAATGTATGCCAAATTGATCTTCTGTATATAAAGAGAATGGAAAATGAATCTTGATGTGAATGGAAGGGGAGAGGGAGTGGGAAAGGGGAGGGTTGCGGGTTGGAGGAAAGTTACGGGGGGGTGGAAGCCATTGTAATCCAAAGCTTATGGCCTATATCTTGCAGGATTTCTCTGATGTTCTCTAATAATTTGATGGTGTCGGGTCGTAGATTTAGATCTTTAATCCATGTTGAGTGGATTTTTGTGTAAGGTGTAAGGTAGGGGGTCTTGCTTCAGGCTTCTGCATGTGGAAATCCAGTTTTCCCAGTACCATTTGTTGAATAGACTGTCCTTGCTCCAGGAATTGGTTTTAGATCCTTGATCAAATACAAGTTGGCTATAGATGTTTGGATTGATTTCTGGTGTTTCTATTGTGTTCCATTGGTCTATCCATCTGTTTCTGTACCAGTACCATGCTGTTTTGATTATAACTGCCCCATAGTATGTCTTGAAATCTAGCATTGTGATACCTCTGGCTCTGTTTTTGTTGTATAATTCTGCTTTAGCTATTCAAGGTCTCCTGTGCCTCCATATGAATTCCAGTATCATCTTTTCCAGAACTGAGAAGAATGTCTTTGGTATTTTGATTGGTATCACATTGAATCTATAAACTGCTTTTGGGAGAATGGACATTTTGATGATATTGATTCTTCCAATCTTCCAATCCATGAACATGGAAGATTTTTCCATTATTTTTTGGTATCTTCTATTTTTTTTAAGATTTGTAGTTCTCATCATATATCTTTGACATCCTTGGTTAAGTTCATTACAAGGTATTTGATTTTGTTTTTAGCTATTGTGAATGGGATAGATCATGGAAGTTCTTTCTCAGCCATGGCATTGTTTGTGTTTACAAAGGCTGTTGACTTTTGTGTATTGATTTTTATATGCTGTTAATTTACCAAACTCTTCTATGAGTTCCAGTGGTCTCTTGATTCTCTTGGATCCCCTAAATAAAGAATCATATCATCTGCAAAGAGGGATAATTTGACTTCTTCCTTCCCAATTTGTATCCCTTTAATT